CATGGTATTACAGGCTTTTTCCAACCGATTAACCATGTTAGCCTTCAACTTTTGTTTTTATTAATAAATACTTTTGCACATACGTTAGCGCCATTGATTAGATAGCACCGTATCATCCGATCATGTAAATAGTCTTAAGCTAACGATTGCACTCTCTTATATTGCGTACTACCATGTAGAACAGGTTTCCCTCCAATAATAGTGCGACACATGCCGGCTATTGCGTGAGAATGCTATAAGAAGAGAGATACGTATGTTGATGGTGGAGAGCAACGGCTCCACATGTCAACGTTATATGTTCCTACTGCTACTTTTTGTAAAAATGCGTTTCTCCACAATAGTACTATTGCTAACCTCTAGTCTGGTGGTGTTTGCCAGCAAACAGGTTGTATTGTCGGATGTTAGCCAACGAAATGTTCCTCTTGGCGATAAAACACTAGCTGAATTTGACATCATACTAAATACAGTCATGCGACGAGTAAAGTCACATGTGCACGTAGCATCCTGGGAAGAATTACGTGTAGTTCTACAACGGGATATCCAACGAGATTTGGAGCATGCTATTCCGCAAACACTGTCGCGGCAATATCCCAATGTTGCTGAACAATTAAGGAAAGCCAGCAATGAAGCACGACAATCCATCGCGCAGGCAGTGGCCAATGGTGCACTCAATCTAGCCACCGATGTGCCTATATTCTTTAATCAAAAGATTTCGAAATACTACGCAACAGCATCACTTGATATCGTGCCGCTTGTCGTGCAATTAACACGTAGCGATCACGATCCAATCACCATCGAGGCTAAGATTTGCCAGCATTTATTACAAGGATGAATCACATTTATACGGATGTAAAACAGCATGTCCTGCCTGCCACATCATACGCCAAGGATATAGCAGATCTTTTGCAAAGATTCATCGGTTTGCAGCTCTACGCTAACCCAATATTATGGAGAAATCTAAACTAACCTATGACCAAACACATGCTTATATCGACAAAATTGTTGCAACAATATTTGAAGCGCCCAAGACAGCACCGGATACCAGCATCAATGCGAATGATATCCGCGCACAGCTTAGGAAGGCGATAGAGAATGCGGTAAACGAGAAATAAACGTTATAGCAATGGCTTAATACCGAAAGACTGAGAGACTATCGTATATCAGTTCGATTCACGTATCATTTTGGATATTGATATTGGTTTTTTGATTTTTTGTATCATTTTTTTTTTTTTTTTTTTTTTTTTATATATTGGTTGGATTCACATGCTAGGATACTCCATTTTAGCATTACTTTTGTATGAACATATAATACTACACTGAGTAGCAACTTGCTCGTCATTTCTTATTATAGTGCGCATGCTTTGAGTAGCCTGTGACTCTTGATGCTGTCATTGTTTCCCTTGGAATAACAATACCTGTTTATTGTCGACTCGATGATACCTGTACTAATGAAAATAGAACTAGGAACGCACGTGGGTCAGCATCGTTCGAGATTGTCGCATGTTAAGCTTGATATTGGCAAGAACAGCTTTACTTGCTCTGTTAGAACACGCACGAATATTGTGACAGCTTTAGTAGAGAGGCCTGTACCATTTCAGTAATGTTTTGATTTCATCTGCATTGGAACATACAATTTGTGCCGTCTATCCATTCAGTTACCAAATAGATCATCTGTAATCGATGTTATGCGAATAGTGTAGCCCATAGACATGTGATGTGACAGCATGTTGCACGTGTCCAAAAGGAGGACTTGTTGTTGTAGCGAGTACAATCATCGCCTCAAGCAAGCTGACACTCTGTCAGACAGTTTGGCCATGTGTCTATCGGCAGCAATAGTACACTCGTATCAAGACTATTCTATCATTTCAAACAAATATACTATTTACACAGCAGGTGAGTAAGGGATAAAAATACTTCAGAAATGAGTTAGTCGTTAGTTACACGAATGCCAACTATGCGCTGGTTAGCACGCTTTACTCCGGTCAATCCATGTATATATTCTGGCAGCTCTTCTAACATGTTAACGAACAAAAGAATAGAACAGTCATTATTCGCCCACCATACCCCTTACCTCGATGATTGACACATCCCATGTATCCATAGGTGGACACCTCCATAAAACAGCTGTAAAGGCATTAGTGACGTATATATAAGACCTCGTACTTGCGCAATCAGAAAGAAACATAACATTCAATGAATACACTACTTGTCAAAGTCCATCGTCATCACCGTTGTCTTTGACGTCGTCACTCACATTAAATATTTACGCTCATTTGTGGAAAATACACTAGTAAACGCATTACACCATTGTGTCACGCAGACCTAAATTCAACGTTCGTTCATTTTAACGCTACACCAATAAACAATACCGACGACGAAGATGCATTTGACTATTTTGTCATTGTTGCTAACGATCACCAGTTGGTGCAACTTCATCGCGGCCAAACCAGCTGGAGGCTTTGTCAAGCAAAGTAAGTGTCTACTAGCTCGTCCCAGTAAACTCGTAAAATAATACTCACCAATGAATTTTATAGCAAATCATGAAGAGATCGGCAAATTTATAGAGCCAAACTTCGTTTGCCGGAAGAGCACTGGGGTATAGAGGCTCATATGGTGAATTACCGGCATTCTACAAGTGCGTTACTAACCAGGCCGCATACGAGAATGAAGTCCGGATGCAAACTGTAAGTATTAATACGAATTTGCATCAATGTAATTTATTTCTTATAATAACAATAATGATAATACTTAGAGAATAGCCCAAGCACCTGATACGAACTACGGTGGAAAGCAGTACATTATTAGATGTACGACAATTTCGAGTATAATCAGAAATATGCATTGTCTACGAAGATGGCGGCCACGTGCGATCAAGGATGCTGTCAAATTCAATGAAGTTGAGTTAATGAACAAGCTATTTACACAAGTGGTAGCTGGTAAGTTCACTAGGGAATGTCAACACATATACACGGTATTAATGCAACTATCGATAGGTGTCGCATTCTCCATAGTATTGGATTGGGACATGGTGATCTAAAGCAAGACAGTAAGTCGCTACGTAGATTCAATCGATTTGCCTACTAATTCCAATCATACCTAGACATTCTTGTTTCCGGCAACACTCCGGCCAATTACGTCGCTAAGATTATAGACTTTGATCTTGCCCAAGAGATTAGTATGCGGTGCCGAACTTTGAGCACTAGAAGATCTCAAGCCGCCAGAGTTCTCTACAGCTCGAAACGGATTCAACATGAAGCTTCACGATGCCTGGGGACTTGGCGTATTGTTCTTCAAGCTCCTAATGATCAGGCAACAGTTACAATATATTTACCAATCCTAATGCGAAGAAATACAATCTTATTCGGGAGAAACTACTTAAACGCCACTCGCTATTGGGTATTAGTTCCTCGAGCCTCTTGACTCCAAAACCTTCGAATAGCATAATTAAAAAGGTGCTCATGCTAGTGAACGACGCCAATGAACGCTCTACACCGGAAGCAATGGTGCAACATATATTGGAGGAAAATCTTCGTAAAAAGTAGTAGACTAATGACTTTTTTTCTTTTAACATTGCGTTGCTTATTTTATTATAATAAACCAAATTGACAACATTCAAATGAAAGCAGTAGACTAATGACATATCCGTATACAACAGCAACGAACAATAAACATCATTAATCAAGTCTTTTATTACCATGTCAATAATAACGATGATGTCATCGCGTCATCCCTTTTCTTTACTTTCCACTCGACGTAGATGAACTATTTCTTTCATTGCTCTCACTTCATCCTAGTAATCCTATGTCAGTAAGTATAATGACGTGGCGAATAGTTGTTATTCACTCGAGATTGCTCAACTAACTATTCTTGTAGTATTACTTGATACTTAATGTGGCTACCAAGTAATCCCAAGCATGTACTCTTAACTCAACATATACTATTATTCGTAACTAATTATTGCTAGGCAAGGTACGATGCAATATATATATATATGTGGAGTATACGCAAAAGAACGCTTTTTTAATCAGAATAACGTCTACTTGACAATGTCCTTGCTTGTCTATGCTGATTATTAAGATGTTGATTCGCGAGCTTCAATTCTTCTTTTCTCCTTCGCTCCTCTTCAAGTCTTTTTATTCTTGCATATATAGTCACTAGCTTGGCGGTTTTCTTTTCAACTTTAACGATATAGTCTTGAATCCAAGGTTGCTCGGCTGCAGAGGCATGGGATTTTGATGGTACGGATGTTGCATCATCGCATATATTCTGGTTATTATTATTCTTATTATTAACAAATGATCCCATATTGATATTTTGTTAGTGCAGGAGCAAGAGAAACAAACAAACAAGGTGGAGCAATGCGTATGGAATAGAATAAGAAGGAACTGGACACGCTTACGCAAAAAAAAGAGCCGTTTTTTTTTTATTATTTTTTTTTAGTTGATTATACAAAATACAAGTGTAAAAAAGTAAATTAGTTACATGTGCACATTGTTAATCCATTATTATTATTATTACTGATGCTGGTCTATAGTAATAAAACAGCGTATCATTTATGGTAGAGCTCGCAAAAAATTTTTTTTTTTTTTCTTGTTAGAACATATTTGGCTATATGCCGTCTTTTATTATAAATGAATAAACCAGGGTTATAATAACAAACAATTTGACAAACAGCCCAATGCCCACGGAATGGAAATGTGTCTTGCGAGTGCAGACCACGGTTGTGTAGCAGAAAACCAACTAGCATATAGTCGGTAGGTTAATAAATGTCAACATTTCTGTTAACTAGTTAGAAATGATACCTTTTTCCCTATGACGGGATTGGCAGGAATCGAACCCAGGACCTATTCGTCCGAGAAATAGAGCGTAACCACTTGGCTACAACCCCATCCTCTAGAGCTCGCAAAAAAAAAAAAAAAAAAAAAAAAAAGAGCCGCGATGCAAGTGAGCAAAATCAAGGATGCACCATAGAATTGCAAAAAAGTCAAAAATTTTAATTAACCGGTATAGTCCAACGGCTAGGATATCTCGCTTTCACCGAGGAGATCAGGGTTCGATTCCCTGTACCGGTGGTTATTCTTTTTACTTTTTGTCTATACGATGTTTACATAAGCGCTACTTGCTTATTTTTACGAGCTGCTGTGATAGTAAGTAAAACGTGTACAAGAGCTGTAGTCATTTTTTGATATAGATTTATTTAAACAGACCGTCAACATTTGCGCTATGAGATGCAATTGATTTAGCAGCAATGGCAAGTATCGTAGCATGTCTAGTTGCTGGTAAGAATATCGCTGTTCACTTTTTGTCAATGCAATCAAGGCCTGTAAACAAAAAGCAACAAGTATCTAACCGGTAAGTTACCAGTAATCTGCCTTTTCCTCATATCAGTACAGGCGTGTACATGGCTGTTGATTCGTACAATTATTGTGGTACTATTTTTAAATACTAGCCCGTAAACTAACATAGCTTTACTATTGGCTAGATCTATTCCAAGGATACCGTCACATATACACCAATGCTCTGGTAATTGTTAGCTATAAAAGCAGATGGCATGATAGCGTATTATCAACCGTAGCATCCCTATTCAATATGCACTTCTCATCAGCAGCCATTTCCGTTTTACTACTTTCAACTACCAGCCTTACTAGTGCGGTAGCTTCTGATAAAGCACAGCAAATCATGATTAGCTCCTCGCATTCAGGGAGATACTGCTTTAGACCGCTGCATCGTGGACCAGGATTTGGACCATGCTCCACAGATCGATCTAGCAAACGATGGATCAGGGTACCTGTCGACGACAAGTATTCTACGCTGCAATACAATGATCAGGGCTGCCTCACCTACAACGAGCAGTCTCTACGAGTCGCTATGAGTCCATGTAACAGCAAGGATCAACGCCAGCACTGGGAGTTCTACAGGGATCTCGATCCAAAAAAGACAAAGTACAAGGATGGCAACTTCAAGTTGGTCACACGTATAGCGCAAGAGAAGATGAAGAAGAATGGCATATGTCTTACTCATGGTTTGGCTAACCGATATTTCGCTGCTTGGTTAGAAGAATGTGATTATAACAACGATATACAATACCTAGTCATAGAGGATAAATAGGATGTTGTATACCATTGTTTGTTAACATCTAATTTGATTTTATAGACATTATAATACTTGCATACTTGCATGACTAACATTTGCAATGCACACAAGATAATAGAGATTCACTTTCGAAATACTATGTTCTTTATTTGTTTATCGGTGAGCGTTGAGAGAGACTGCACTTTTATTTGCTGGTAACGATCATCATCATCATCATCATCATCATCATCATCATAGATGAATGAATAGATGGAATCGTGTCATCCAGCGTTAATGCATAATGATCAAAATGCATGAATTGAATGATGTGCACGTCACGGAATAACAATACAAACATACATTCATCGCCATAACCATGTATTATAGAAATATAATGGCTTTTACAAGTAAGAGCAATCATAATATACACATACGATTATCATTATTCAATGCTACTAGTACATGCAACATAAATAATAATAATAGTCGGTATACATATATATTACAAGGTCTCGGCTAAAGTGCATGTTTGTATAGAAAGAGATAATATATAATCGAAGAGGAAAAAATAAGAAATTGGAAACATAGCAAAGAGTAATGAAGAAATTGGAAAAGCAGACGCGCATATACAAACACACGCGTAAAACGCATATACCAATTCACATTAACACATACGCATAGCACACACAGCACAGCACACACAAGGTGGGATAGAAATAGAAGGGAAAAACGAGACGTTATAAAGAAAAAGTATCAAAAGCCAACGGCGTCATGGCAATCAGGAAACGCACACAGATCAACAATGGCTATATATATATAGAGCTATATAGTTATAAAAGGGACGGATAGTAACAATAAAAAGAATGATTGAACAAAATCCACAATGAACAACACAACAATACAATAGCTGTATGTGTGTAATATATATAATGTACCGCGCCTCGTGTAGTTGCAACAATAATAATAATAGTAGTAATATAATTATTTACTGAGCAGCGGCAGCGGCCATCTCAGCTACATCCGGGAACATCACCGAGTTGGCGAATCCCGCGGTCATAGATGTGGCACCCATCATAGACATGGCATTGGCGTTGCTGTGATCTACTTGGGCGTTCATGTTCATGTTGTCGTTTGCCTCGGAGTTCACTGCGGAGGCGGCAGCGGCAATAATGGCAGCGGCAGCAGGTGTACCTGGTTTGATGCCATGTACACGCAGATGCATGGCCAAGTTGTCGCTACGGGCGAATCCCTTGTTGCAGCCGTCGACCGTGCACACGTACGGGCGTTCACCGGTGTGCGTGCGTTGATGGCGCTTCAAGTGCTCGTGACGCTTGAAGCTCTTGCCGCAGCCCGGTTCTGGGCAGTCGAAGCGGCGTTGTGATCCCGATTTGTTCTGGGATGCATCGCCACCATTGAGCGAGTCGCACATGGAGGGCGACATGGATGAACGACGCATGCGATTGAAGTTACCGCCAGCGGCCGCAGCGGCAATTGATCCTGGCATGGTCATGGAGATGGAGCGATTATGACGCACGACATGAGCTGGTGCGTGCATAAAAGCGGGCGAGCCAGATGTGGAAATCGATGCTGCTGTGGTGGCCATCGAGTTGGCGGCAAACAAAGCTAGATCGTTGACATTGGCAGACTCCATATGGGAGGACAATGGCACTGGTGCGGGGAAGGCGTTTGATACGGAAGCCGCTGTAACCGTCATCAGATCAAGGTAAGCCTGGTCGAATGCTACCGAGGCAGCTGGATTACCGTTGGCCGGGATGGTAGCAAGCTTACCAGCACGGGGGAATGGATCATGACCGATAGTTTGGTTGGAATCCATGATTTGATGGTAGTTAAGGGCGGCAGCTGGCATTCCTGGCATGCCCATATCGACCGACACGGCTGCGGCCATCGAGTCAGCCTCGGAGGGATAGCTGGACTCGAAGACATTTGGCGCGCCAAACATGTCCGACTGACGTTGTACCTCGGCAGCTGACACGGGAATCTCCCAGCCGGCATGTGAGGCACCGATGGCAGCACCGGACGCATCGATCATGGCATTGGCACCTGGCATGAAGAGCTGACCGTAACCGGTAGCTTGATGTGGTTCAGGTGCGGCCGACATACCTAGGTCGTATGGATGCATGGATGCAGCTCGCATATCCGAAGCATGGGCACTGTACATTTGAGCCGGGTTAGACTGGGGCATGCCAGGTACGATGTTGTAGTTGGCAGCGGCAGCGGCAGCCACGGCAGCAGCGTTAGGTGCAACGTTGTACAAGCTGGATGGCAAACCGGGAATGGTGCGTTCGGATCCGGCTACGGCCATGGTGCACGGCTCGATACCAAGTGCTTCACGCTTGAGATCGCGATCGTAAGCGTCCTGGAAGAGACGGTCGTGGGGTACTGAGAACCAGTAGAAGACTTTCTGTTTCTTTTGGGTGCGCACACAGTTGTGTTTGTAAAGCAGCTCGAGGAACTCGCTACGTGGCTCTTCCAACGAGGCGTCGACACCTGGTTTCAAGTTGCGCAGGTCGCTGAACACGCCTTCCTCGAACTTCTTCACATTACGTACGGGACGACCTGCCGCTTGGAAACGGAAAGTGAGCACACGGACGATATCGGTACCGGTAATGTGGAACAGATCACGCCAGAGCACGCATGAAATGTACTCGCCAGTTGGCAATAGGAAGCGCTTGATGGTTTGCTCAGGATCCCAGTCATTAGGAGCAGTGGACAAGAAGTAACGGAGCTGTTCGACAGTGGATTCCATGTTGATGTAGATAGATGGTTATAATAGTCCCGTTAAATGGTAATAGTACTAGTAGCAGTAGTAGCAGTAGTAGTAGCTAATACACACACGCTAATATAATGCGTCTAGATGCGATTCAATCGTATAATGCAATAATGTTATCAGGAATCAATCCGGATAGAATGTAGCGTGCGTGAGTACACGTGTGGTGTGTGAGCGGGTGAGTGGATGATAAATGAGTGATGTGTGAAGAGGCAGAATGCAATGCAATGCTTGAATGTTGCTAAAGGCAGACAAGAGCTATGATGATCAAATGAACGAAATCGTTAGTAGCTGCGTGCTTGTTGGAAGGAGAATGTGCGTGTATTCGTGGCTATCAAAGTAATGGATCGACAACCCTGATATATATATATATATAAATCAATATACCAATATATCAATAGATGAAATGAGGAAAGCACACAATGAATACGACTGGCCTGCAGACGACTTTGGCAAGGAATAAGCCAAGGAAAGACAATAATTACCAAAGGGAAAGAGATAAATGTGTGCACCAGTGGATACGCACACTATTTAATAAAGGACTTGTAGTATTACACTTGTGTAATAGAAAGAAAGAAAGGAGGGCACAAACTTGATACCACACAATATTAAATGAATAAAACTCTACAATTCAAGAGAGCGATATCACTAATATGAACGGTGTTTAAAATAAAATGCAGAAAACACCGACAATACAACAGTATACCAGTATTCCTTACAAAAGAAATCAATAAAGCTAGGTTGAATGCGAATAAGCAAGAAAGTAATACAAAGGCACAGCCAATGTAATTGTAGTTGTTTGGTAGATAGATAGAGAGAGAGGAGAGTTAGGTTGAATGAATAAATGAATTGTCAATGACTATGAAGCGAATGGAGCAATAAGATGAAGGAGTGTGTGGTAGGTGGCGACGATAATAAGTAATGAGAAAAGAATGGGAGCAATAGGCAAGTTGACAATGGATGCGGTTAATAAAAATGTTGCAATAAGACACACACACAAACTACCGAAATGGTAATAATAGTAGCAGTAGCAGTGGATGGTCCGAGTGGATATGCGATGATATAGTGTGAGATAGGAGGACTACTAGTCGAATGATAATAACGAGAAAGAGGGCAGCACGGGATTTAGAGGCGTATAGGCGGAATAGGCGGACACAAGTGTTGTATAAAAGCTTTTGTCTACGCCCGGCCGAGGTCTCTCCACCGGACGAG